ATAACTCACAAGCCAATTATAATCTAAATATAGAGCACTTACCCAAGCACCTTGCATACATTTAATCAATGTTGCAGATATCGCCCATGTCCAACACCCTTGTGAGCTTTGCAATATGAGGTTGAACGCCCATCACACACTAGCCTACATGTTATGAATGTATCTATCAAAATTCTCAAATGCAATGCCATTTCACACACTTTGTCATATAGTTTGTTAAATTCTTAGATGCATTTTACATAGTCCACTAGACTTCTTTTTGTCTCAATGCCCTCATCGCTACAACTATATTACCATTGTATAAAATCATCCTACTAAGGTTGACTTCTCTATGCCATCTTGACAAGCTTATTAATAACAACCTTATCAACTTCTCAATGACTTCACCATTTTGAAAAGTAATCCCAAGAAGGACGATTTCTTAGGAATTTTGTTGACAAAAACCTCTCCTTTTAGTGAAGTTATCATAGAACACTAAAAATTACAATCCAGAAACATGTGTATATTATAAGAGATTGATAATCTAATGAAGTAATTGTAGATAACTAAATACTTCTTAAAAGGGAACCTAAAGTAAGTTTATAACTAAATTTAGTTGTGCTATCAAGATACTTTAGAGAAGCTGCAATATTTAAATTAATGTATTCATTATTTCAAGATCAACTTAGATGTGAAGCAATGCTTTAGAATTTTCATTATGTGTAGCTCTTCGAAGCCATATAACAAAAATTAGGCCTATGAATGCTTGTTATAATGCCATAACAAAAATAGAAAAGCATATTCAAGATTTCCATGGAATTTTTACTCAGACCAAGAAAGAATTTAATTACATATTGTTATTTTACATAGATTTAATAAGATATTGAGCTTAATTTCTTACAAGGAATAATAAGTCCATTTTTCTTTAAAGTCTTAAACATATCACAAAATGCTTATATATTTACATATTTAACATCTAAACTTGAAATTTATTTATATAAAACTTCAACGTTACAATCACATCAAGAGATATGCATAAAAAAATATTCCACTTTAAATTTGTTCAATATTGGTGATGTGCTTGATTTGATATTAAATATTTAATTTTTATGTAAGTAAATATTAATGTTTGTGTTAGATATACAAATACATAAGAATTGTCTTTAAGGCATGTAAATCCCTTTACTTGTTTACCATGTATAGAAATACTTCAAATCATCTTTATCCATAATTTTTATAGGGACAACCATTTTTCTTCTTTTTTTTTCCGCATAAAATTTGGAGCACAATGGATACAAACCTAAAGAGGAGTAATATCTTACACCTAAAGGTTAAAAAAACAAAAAAAACTTTAGTGATGATGTACAAGGTTACATTGTCAAAAATCTAAGTTTTGATATGACAACATCAATGTATATGGCATAATTTAAACAAAGCAGTTTGTAGGTTGGAAGTAAAATTGAAATTTGAGATTAGCCTTGAATTTTCACTTGAAATTTATTTGGGAACTGGAATTCTCTGTTTACTAATAAGAAGGAAGTAATGAGTGGCACAAGGTAATATAAACTCAAATATTTCTAGAGGCCATTAGAAAGATCCATCAAAAAATTATAAAGTAAAGCTTTGAGCATCATAAGCATATGGCTGACAATTTTTTTAAGAAAGATATTTGTTATGGCAATATGAGAAAAGAGATGTAAAAGTTTTGATGCCAATTAAAATTGGATCTTTCAAGATCTTTAAAATATTTCAAGGCCTTTTAGTTATATGAACATTTAATTTATAATTAATATTAAGAATTTGCAGGTATTGCGTATTCATTTTTCATCACATTAAGAAAATAAATTTAATTTCCCCTTTATAAGATTTAAATGTCATATAGAAGGGACCATTCAGAAGGGCAACATAAAGAATCATTTGAAACAAAGAAAAATAGGCAAACAACCATATAAGTGAAACAATTTAAAAGAGTCTCTTTCCTTACAACTATTTATAGAATCAAATAAGAAAAACATGTTTAAGCCATGACATAGGAGACTCTATCGATTTTAAATAATATTTTAAATGAAGCTTATGGAACTTTCAAGAAGAGCATAATAAAATTTACAATAAATATTAACCTTCATAAATATTTGAAGAATATTCCATAAGGACTGGAGAATTCAAGGAAGACATGTGAACTTTAAGGGTGATGAAAATATGCTTACGTAACTTTCATGAAGTGAAAATAAGCTTATAGAAAATTCATTTGACCATGATGGTAGCTTAAGTAATAAACATTACAATGCACTCATCAATTTAGGGTGACTAAACCATTGATTATAAAGCTTTATTTGCATTTTCTTAATTTATCTAGGCATTTAGAATAGTTGGTTGAACCAAGTGATCCTAAGTTAATTTGTTGTCACAACATATGTCATGAATTAGAATCTTTCTTAGTGCAATTGGTCATCTAGAGGGAGAAAATGATAAATGACTATCAAGGATAAGATAACAATTATCATGTCTTCTACAAGTTCATTGTGGATAATTAGGTATGAACTTTAATGAGGCCATAATGAATGAATAGGTTATGGGTGTTTTGTGACTTATGTTAGAGGGTGTTTGTAACAAACTATAGTGTGTGCATAAGTTAGGTGGGAAGTATATATATATATATATATATATATATATATATATATATATATATATAGTGTGTGTGTGTGTATTAAATACTAACTTTAAGTTTCTCTCAAATTTAAGGGGACAAGAGTTATCCTAACCACTTTTGATTTTTCCATTTGTTGACACAAATAAGTATGAGGCGATTGAAACATTAAATATAAAAACATAGTTGTATCTTCTCTATTGGCACAAAATTTTTGAGTAATTGATTGCACTAAGTCATCTAACATCTCATGCCAAATTAATTTATCTTTAATTTTTTATTTTCAAGAATAAATCAATATTATTGGTTGAGATTTACTATGAGATGTTTAAGTTCATATATGCCTCTATTGCTAGTAAAAATGGCTAGACAATAATATGATAATTCCTTTTTTTATTTAAAAAATATCATAATCCTTGAAAAATTTGCATCTAATTTTTATTAGAAAGTAGGACTACCAACTAATGTTACCTTATAGCATTATTTGACATTCACTCGACAAATTTGCTTAGCTTTTTACCCATATAAAGAGCTTCCTTTTGTGTTATTCCCAACTTAGCTAAATTATTATAATAATTTTTCACTTGATTTGACATACCTTCTTCACCACATACCCACATTGAAATTTGATTAGCTTTTATTTTTCAAATAATTTTAAAATATGTAAAAAATTGGTGTTTCATTCATCATGTAACTCATTCTTGGTTCATGCTAATGCAATATAAACAACTATTAATAGCATACTAGCAAGAGGAGAGAAATGAAAACCAATGAAGAACAGTTCCCGACTTAATAATACATCCCAAGTAAACTTGTTCATTTGAAATGGCAATTGCTTCAGCTGGGATGATGCATTACATTACACGCCACTTATAAGGTCTATGACAAAATATTAGGATTGTCAACAGTCAAGTAGTTGAAATAATTAATTATTTTGTATGAGTTTCTTTAAATTCAAGTATAGATGTATTAAGATAATTATTATTGTATGTGATTCATTGTATTGGTATTATTACACTTTCTTGGTTTATCATTTAACCATAATAGAGAATAAGAGGGAATTTCGGAAGCATCAAGGAAGGTGAAGGACATGGCTAATAAAGGCTTCTCTTTTTTGCTGTGTCATTGGACGAAAACTCACTTAGTTGCTTTTACAACCTTTTTATAATCTCATGAGATGGCCAAAGATGGTTACAAATCATCCCCCCACATCAAGGAGCCAAGTAATTCCACTTTCCTTAAACCAAGAGAACAACCCATAACTCACTAAGCAACCACTCAATCACATCTTAAATTTCAAGAAAAAGCTCTCTACTCCTTGGGAATTTTGAATTTTTAGTTTGAAATCTGTAAGAGAAAATTATAGAATATACTTTAGATTGTATTGCATGTATCGTTGACACACCAAAATAAATATTTATACTATTTTCTTACACTTTTACCTCTCATTGAATTGGTGATCTTGATCTCTTGCTTTTCATTGAGAGCAAGTAAATTTTATTAGTTGTTATGTTGATGCAAATTAAATCCTCTCCTTAGCTTCTCCACACATTTTTAACCTCCTAGCATAATCAGCAACCAAGTCTCCACAATTCAAAATAAATTAAACAACATCTCAATCTACCATCTCCATTCAAACCCAAGATTTATGGGATAACCTCCGCAAGGATAGCCACTCAAAACTAAGAAACATAAGCTCCAAATGTCACTCCACGTCCTAAACTAACACTACCCAAGGATAAAATATTAGGTTCGAATAACGACCATGCAAACAACGGCATGAATCGCATCACGTCGCCGAACGTACAAAATGATACGATCCAAACAATCATCTGCATATCTCGTTTACCAGACATAATATTTTCTCCTATTTAAGACAATATACATCCACTAAAACATTCCTAAGCCCTTCTACAAAAATTTAAACCCTCAAAAGAGTGTTCTTAATTTCCATCCTTCCAAAGATGTTAGGCCACAACCATCTATCGCCATTCACTCCACATTCATATGGCACTCCATACCAACTTGAATAGTCTATAGATCTAGTTCATTCTTCTGGGGCTGTGTTTTTTAGCAGCTCTATTTATGTTACTTCAAAGATAGTTAAGCTTTCGTTTGTGGTGTATAAAGATCGAATAAATACAAAGTGTTTTCAAATGTGAAGAGTCTGAGACACGTTTTTCTATAATGATTTACATGAAAATATCAACTGCAGCAAGGAGGCATGTCTTTTCAACGTCAATTATTTCTGTAACATGAATAACTGGATGCTTTAAATCCCTTAAATTACAAGTTTGCCAAAAGAAAAATATCACTAAATCAGTGATTGCTGACTTTGAACAAAACATCTGCATCAGAATAAAAATAGCCTAGATTGTAAAAATAATAATCTGAATAATAAAACACATTACACAAATCACACAGTTCAAACTGAAAAGAAAAAAATGAAAAAATGTGTTACAACTTGATACTGTAACACATTGAACAAGTGTATATGTTCTCCCTCCACAATACTCTGTTAAATTCAGTAAAAACAGAGAAAAATAATAATAATAATGCAAGAACATATTTGATCAACCAAGGCATCTCATCAGACTATGCTAGGAGCATCACCAATCCAGCTACAAACAGCTCTCGGCCAACGGGTCCTAATGCAGTCCACCAACGGAGCGTGCTGAGTCAACTCAGCCGCCTGACCCACTTCATTTTTTCGATCATCACATCTATCCGAAAGAAACTCCTCCTGGGTCCATCTTGGCGGCACTGAAACACTTAATTTACAAAGCCTTGGCCTCTGCAGAGGGCTCTCACCTACCATACCAACATTACCGTTCAGCACGGACTTCGCAATTCCATTAAAATGATATAAATCAAACAATTTCTTGCCCATCGATCCACTAGAATCTTTTAAGCCCCCAAGACTCCTATCAAGCTCCAACAACTCCTGCAAAAATTCACTCCAAACAATGAAGCCTGAGAAGCAGAGACTTTCGAGTTTCGCTGGTGGGAAGTTGATATTGCATTCTCGAAGGACTTGTTGAAATCCTTCAATGCTGATGAAACCCCCTCCACCACTCTGGTCTTGAGCATCGAATATTCGATGAATTCTGCTTTCTCGTTCTTCGAGCTCATTTTCATCTTGCACCGACGGATCTAAAGCGAAGAGAACAGTGTAGTGGGACTCGCTTCCGACCACCCATATAGGCCACCTCGGGCATTTAAGGTGCCGTCCGACCTTGCAAAAATTGAGGGATTCGAGTAGGGTGAGGAATCCAACTTCCACGCTTGTGGATATGCCCATAAGGAACATGCCGCCACCAAGATCCATCCTACCATCAAACACATTTGGAACAGCCTGCCCACAAAGCAGCAGATTCACGATTTCCTAAGAGTATGGAGTATATTAGAATGCGAAGCTATGTCTAATGAGATTATTAGATGAAGCATTGAGCTTGAAGAAGAAGCAGGGCAATAGCTAAGTGTTAAGTTTCTTGAACGCCTTTGCGTTGCAGAACTCAAAATTAAAGTTTAGATATGTAGCGATTAAGCTGATTTACAAACATACCGAAAAATTCTTATGTATTTACATATCTAACATGTAAAATTTGTTATTTACATTTAGAGAAAAATGTCAGAAGGGTCCCTCAACTCTTTATAAGTAGTCATGTTAGTCACAAAGTCTATAAAAGTGACCATTTAGTCCCCACTCTTTTAATGGGGGCTAAAATAGTCCTTCCTAGGGACCCTTTTAACCTATATTCAAAGCATTTTGGGACTAATTTGACACTTTTAGACTATGAGACTAAAATAAACCCATGTAAATAGTCATGGGACTATTTTGGCACTTTAATCTATACATTTATAACAATTTGTTATTATACTCCTAAGCATGAAAAAGTGTATTTCACTTTAAAAAGTTATAAGGAGTGGCATTTTCGCGTGTTATGCACTTGAATATAAAGATTAAGTTGTTAGATATGTAAATATATAAGAATTATGTGGTATGTAAATTCCCCAAAAAGAAAAAGAGTAATCAGAGGGTTAATTTAAACTGTTAGAGAAAACAAAGCACTCCTATTTGGTTGTACAATTGTATGGTAGATCATCCCATGAAGCCTCATAAAATTACCACTGAAAACCAATTCAATATTTGCTGAGATTAAATGCATAATTGCATACTAAATTTAATTACTTAGAAACCCCGTAAAGCGGACATAAACAATCTATCATGTCTCTAATAAGTCAAAATACAGAAATCTATATGCAATAAATACTTAAAAACTGAAGAAGGAACCCAAAAACTGGAGGTTTTCTAGTTTTCTAGCTTAAGAGCAGCTAAACTTGATGCAATTTTTCAGCAACACTACATTATTCATCAAAACTTTATACTACCAAATAAAGCTGGATCAAGTGTTCTGTTTAACACGCTATACACTTTTAGCATTAGCCCTAGGGCTGTAAATGAACCAATGCACTCAATGAACAACTCGAACTTGGCTCGATTAAGACTCGATCATGTTTGTTCAAATTTGTAAATAAACAAGCTTGAACAATTTTTAAAAGTTCGGAACTTAAATGAAATAAACATGAACATAGTCGAACTTATTCACCTATATTCACGAATAAACTCGTTTATTGTTTACCAAGTAACTTGTTAAATATTCAATATTAAACTCGATGATAAGTCGTATCATATGTGATATATTATTTAAAAAAAAATTAATTAACTAGAATTTATTTAGCTATAGATTTAATAATATTATTATATTATATCAATAAAATACATTAGACTTATGTGGTATGTATGAAATGCCAATTAAAATTAACTTTAAATCCTCACAAACCTCAAAATTTCTCTCGCCTCTTACAATTTCACATCTCCAAGTTTCAGCCGAAACATCTGAAACCCTGAGTTGCTAGGGCATGCAAGTATCGAAGGCAACGACGAGATCGCAACGTGCAAGGATCTCTAAAACTCTAGTTTCTCATATATCTCCCATTTATATTCTTCTCATAAAGTCCGATCCGATTAAAAAGTGGTGTGAAATCATTGTAAGCTATAAGTTGGTCATGTTCGGCTTGAGCTTGTGTTGAACTTTCAATATTGTTCAAGCTTGATTTGTTTAAATTTTTCTATGTTTGAATTTGATTTGTACTTAATTTGCTTATGACAAGCGAACGAGTATTTAAATGAGCTAATAAACGAGTAAAATTCGGCTTGATATAATTATAAGTTGGTCATGTTGAGAAAGTGTAGTGCAATCATTGTAAGCTATATATGATTAAGAATAAGGATGGTGCATAAACTCTATAAAAGACACTTAAGAAAATTCTCAAAAAAAAGCTAAGAAAAGGACAAGTGCACATCAATATGGGAAAAACAACCCTACATTTAAATGTGAGAGTTGTGTGCAAACTTGGAAGTATGATCATGCTAAAATATGAGAGACTACATCACATATGATCATGCTTCATGAGTTACATTTCATTTTTACAGAGTTTATAATCCATAAATTAGTAGGTGCAATCAGATTTGTAAATTTATTTATTAAATTTTTTATATGAAAATCTAGATACTCGTTAGAATTTTACTCGTTTATTAGCTCATTTAAATACTCGTTCGCTTGTCATAAGCAAATTAAGTACAAATCAAATTCAAACATAGAAAAATTTAAACAAATCAAGCTTGAACAATATTGAAAGTTCAACACAAGCTCAAGCCGAACATGACCAACTTATAATTATACCAAGCCAAGTCTGAAACATGATATACTCCGCTCGATTACAACCCCAATTAGTCCCAGCAAACAACAAATCACAATTCAAAAAAAGGAGAATTGTACACTAAAAGGATGAAATTTAGCACTAAGGTCTGTTGAGCATGGGTCTGGTAACCAAAAAGAAGACCATTTATCATTGTGGAGGAAATATTCAAAGCCCTTTATTCTCTGAATGATAAAACTCAGGATGCAATTTTTTCTGCACCACAAGTTACCAAAAATACCCTTAAGAAAGGGAAGGACCGGAAGATCAGCCAAACTGTGTTTCTATGCAGAGTTATAGATATGTGCAATCAGATTATATTTTTGTTTAGAATCAAAACAAAATGTAGCCTAACGTACACTCAAATCATAGCTTATTGGAGGGAGGTAATACTAATTCTATGGTGGAAGCCTTGTCTCATTCCAAAATCTTACTCAAAAGCCTGTTAAAGGGGAAGCTTTCACTAAATAGCAATATTTAAGCTGTTTATATGATAAAAAAACATCTAATTAAATGAATCAAAGATAAATGCAGGGATAACATCATCTACCTGTGAAGCATGTCCAAATGGTGCTGTGACTAGAGGTAGGGAAGGATCATCCCGATCTGCTTGAATAGATTCCTGCATTACAAAGATCAATGAAATTTTAAAAATAGATTCCACACACAAGATTTTCACATTTTTCATGGCATGTATACAAAGTTTTGGAGCATTTACATACATACCACCTAAATTCTTATGCATTTACATATCTAACACCTAAACTTTAACTTTTACATTTACCACCACCCAAATCTTTCATATCATCTTTCATATCACATAAAAAATACCACCTTTAACTTTTAAAAAGTGAAATACATCTATTCATGCATAGGGAAGGTGGCGTGTATGTAAAAAATGAAGTTTTGGATGTTAGATATGTAAATACATAAGAATTGAGTGGTATGTATGTAAAGCTTCTTTGAAAAAAAAAACTAACAGGCAACATAGCAGCAGAATATTCTATTGACAGCATAGGAAAAAATTAAAGTAGAGAATTGATCATAGAATTCATTTAATGTAGACACTATAAATGGATAACAATCAAGAAAAAACAGCCTGGCCAAGAGACATGGCATCTAAAACTTCCATGGACTCCATTCTCAAATTGCCATTGCTAACTTTTACAAATATTACACAATCTTATCGTTAGACAAAAATAGAATAAACAAATTCAATACCAGACACATTTAGGTAATAATAAATGTCTACACAAGTTAATTTCTGCAAGATTGCACATCCATTTTAGAAAGAGAAATATATTGCCAGTTTGCTAATAAAAAATTTACAAAGATAACTTGGGAAAGAGAGTGCAATGAATTGCAAGGTCAATAAAAGTTCCAATTTCAAATAGCAACTGTTATCCAATAGAGCAGATTGGATAATATTGCCATCTTTATAACAAGAGATCAAATTAACTCTTACAAATTAAAAAAGTATTGTAATTTTAAAGTTTGTGCCTATGTACTGCATATGATAGATCCTAGTTGAAGCCACCATCATCATTAGCCTTATCTCAACTAATTGCATTCATCATTATAAAAACTTAATTTCCATTTATTCGCACTATTTGTTCTCTAGAATGTTAACCATAATCTTTGCGAGTAATTTTGTATTATTTCTCTGACCTAATTTTTATAAAATTTAAACTTCCTGAATTTATTTCACGAGTTACATGGTATTAAAGCCCAATCTGGGCCTAAGATGTTATTCACATTCTTTACGAATTCATTCACGAACTTCTTTTCAGTGTTCTTCAGACTGTACTCCAGATATGGTGTTATTGATATTACACTTGATTAATCTTGTTGAACTTACTCCCTATTCAAGAATAGTAACGATCCAAAAAAGTCCAAATTAGTTCATACTGCAGGCCGTATTACAGAGAAGAAGATGGAACCTAAAAAACCTGCTTTTGTTGCCCATTGTGCATCGCCAGAGCTTTGAAATCAGATGAAACAGTCCAAAAAGCTAAGAGAAGAAAATAATGCAGCATCTAAGAGCCAACAAAATTAAGTTTCTACAAAAATAAGGGAGCAAAATGTAAAAGTTGCACACCAATCCTCGAGAGAGCAGAGCAGATATCAGGAATAACAAGGCCCCCATGCGGCTCTGAAATATAGGGAGCTCTGACATAATATCCTGAAAAGCAACGTTATGCGCAGTGTATGTTTTAATTCTTAAAACTTTCTGCAAATCTGAAGCTGATTCAATTGAAAGGCCTTCCAAGTATGAATTCATCGTCTGTTCACAAGCTGCCAGTGTAAGTGAAACAATACCAGCACTACAGTATTGAATAAAAGTAGGGGAATTTATATACATACCAGCCAATTCCTATGTATTTACATATCTAGCACCTAATCTTTGATTTTTACATTTATACCACCCTAATCTTTCATATCACATAAAAAAATACAACTATTTTAAATACTAAAAAGTAAAACACACATTTTCATTCATGGGTAAGGCGACATGTAAAAATTAAAGTTTAGGAGTTAGATATGTAAATACATATGATTTGTGGGGCAATGTATGCAAATCTTTCATTAAAGTATTAACATATTGAATCAAGATTTGACCTCATTATTCTGACCATCTTCAGATCCTTCACCTGATTGACGACTAGAAAAACTAAGAGTTGCAACCACAGCCCTTTTCATATTTCCACATAAAAATAGTATTTCAAGCATACCAAGAACCAAAGATCTGTAAAAAAATTTTTATTACAATCACTCAACAAGAGATGCATAATAGAAATCAATCCAGACAATCAAAGGGAGGACAACTTTTAAGGAATAGAAGTTTCAATAAGAAAATGTTCATGAATACTTGAGCAAATGTGGGCGTAGAATGACAGCATCTATAAGTTACGTGACCTTTTAAATGGTGATAAAAAAATAAATGGCACTACATTATCGCGATCAGAAATAGGCACCTCAAGTATTCCATCTTGCAATCAGGTTACAATGTCAAGAACCAAATGTTACATATTTGTTGACCAAGTTGTACTTGATTAACTTATTACCTTGTGGAGCCCACAATAGTCCAGTTTTTCAAACCAACTTAATGAAATAAGAGGAAAATTTGCATTTTTATATATAGATAACCCAATTAAAATGTTACGTTCAAATGATAGAAGAAGCTCGCTGAAAATAAGAGGATTACGATTAGTAGGAAAAATAGGCATACGAGAGATGATTAGAGTAAATTAAAAAAATAAAGATATTCCAGAAAATAATGGTGGATCAAATGGTACCTACTTGCTATAGGTGTTGACGTGTTGACACTTTAAATAATCATGCAAAACAATCGGAATATAGATTAGGATATGGCAACTAGAATGCAAAATAGGTGGTTAAATAAACGAGAATTCAATTTTAAAAAATTGTGCTTTGAAGCATGCTTTGCAAGAAAAGAGCAGCCACAACATTTCAATTCACCCTGACAACATGGTCATGCTTTGAGCACTTGACACCTACTAAGTGTTAGGTGCTTTTGCCGTGTTTGGTTTAAGAAGTGGGTTTTTAAGTATTCTTCTTCGACTTTTAAATGACTGGAATTTTTCATTTTAAGTTTCTAAAATGTCTGTTGACTGTATTTTACATTCATGATAGAAGGCTTAAATCCTCCTTTTTGTTGTTTTGACGCTTTTCAATAGGGTTTCAAGCCCCGTGTCATTTATGATTTTGTAATTCTTGTGGAATGTCCATAGGATCCTTTACAAAACTACCTAAAACTTTTAAGGGTATTTTTATTTAATTTAATTTAATAACAAAATATTAGTAAGCTGTACTTTGTGTTTTTTACTTTCTATTGTTGCTTATTTAATCTTAGGGAGATCAAGCATTAAAAAAAATCCTGCATAGAAGTATATTGACAGCTTGTTGATGGAAATAACGTCACTAAACATTGGTGAATTTATAATATAAAAGTCACTAATGAGGTGTTGCCGGGTTTAAGGAGCCATAGATTGATTCAGAAGAGGGGAGGTGGAAGTATATTAGCGTGTGCAAGAAGATCCTGTCAAGTTGGCATCACTTTCAGTATTTGCTAACCAGGATAGCTTCAAGATGATGATTTTAAATATAGGGCAATATAAGCCAAATTAAAAGCCATCAAATTATAATTAAGTTATTGGAAACTTATAATAAGAACCCATTTTCCAAGAATCAACTGACGCATCAAAGCACATAAAAGTTTGCAATATTGTTGTATGAGTTGCTTGATGATCAAGTTGAAAAGAATTAGGAGGAAAATATCATACAACTGATCACAGATATCCATTTAAACTATAAAACAACAGGTAATAATGTTATAAACTTGTCTTTCAACTCTTGTTTAGTAATATAATCAACTGTTGTATATTAAACTAACCTGTGAATCTTTTAAACTCTATAATAGATATATTACTTATGAAAAGGAGCCAGCATTTGTAATGAGTACCATGCACATCTCAATGCTTAGACTTAATGTGAGAGGACATTGGAAAGATCCAAACTAATAAAGAAACTCCGAAGAAGGCAATAGAAATCTTTGAGTTCACTTATAGTCATGGGCTTGTATTTAGCATTCCAAGGAAAACTATAGGAAGGGAAAAAAAAGCTTTTATGTATTGAAATAACTCGATTTGGCACTTGCTTTTTGACATTTCAACCATTAAAAGAGAGGAGAATATGAGGGGACTGTTTGTTTCTAAAGGTAAGAGCAAGTCAACATTTGCTAATGATTGGAAGAGGGTTTGTGAGATTGATAGGAAAGAGACGAGCATCCATAGAGAATAGGGAAAGCACAATATTTTACTTCACCGACACAAACCAACACAACCTAACTACATAAAAGATAAACACCAACAATTCGAGAAGTATGCAATCTCTCCCAAACCTTAACCCAAGATTCAAGACAACAATCACACACATAACCTAACCCTAAACATATTAAGCCTTATTTATATCCCACAATTATAACTAACAAATGACAAACCAACACAACCTAACTACATAAACCTTAACCCAAGATTCAAGGCACTCTCATTCGTAAATGAAAAAAATTAGTTCATAATATGGTTCATAGGAAGATAAGTATCTTATGTTTTCAAAAAACTAAATGGGTTAAATAAAAGGTTAAGGAGATTCATACTTAGGTTTTAAACTTTGGCATTCAATAAAGACTCACACTAAAAATGGTGTAAGTGTAATTATAAATAAGAGTCTGAAAGATAATGTTGTAAAAATAAATGGAATTGGAGATAGAGTTGTAGTCATTAAGATTGTTGTTGATACTAAGATTGTTAATATCATAAGTGCTTATGCTCCTCAACTAAGTTTAGATGTTTCGAGAAAAAATTCTAGAATGACCTATAAGAATTAATACAAATGATACCTCTTGAAGAAAAAATTTTTGTTGGAGGAGATTTTGATAGCGGAGGTAGCTCAAACCACGACTCAGACAAAATATATTTTATTGCTGAAATTTAGAAACGAGTACAATGACGCATCCTTACCAGCAATGACACGTAAGCAAGAAGCAAGAACACATAAACAGAAAAACGAAACGACACATAAACATTAAGGAAAATAGTAAATGCAAATATAGAATCGGCATGAAGTGGAAACAGTCATGGAATATGACGAAACTGGTGCGACTGCCCTAGAAGACTGCTGGAAAACTGCCAAGGTGAGGTTAGGGAGGTGTGAACGAGTGTTAGCCGATGCCTAAGGAAACAATAGTCTTGGAGACTGACAAACAAGGACACATGTCAGCCTGGCTAGAGGTGGCGTTGAAAGGATCCTGGAGGGCGGCCGCCTACTGTGGAGTGATGAGGAGGTGCGACCGAGGAAGGGGGAAGCGTAGGAGGATGGAGTGGCAGCCTGTAGGGATAGGGGCAGCCCGTCGATGCCGCTGGATAGAGCTGGGAGGGCGGACAACTAACTGGCTAGAGTTGTAAGGGCGGCAGCGGTAGAGGGTGATGTCGGGAAGAGGGGTAGAGCGAGGATACACACCACTTGGGGTGAGATATGGTCGTAGCACCAATCGCCAAAGGGCACAACTCTGGAAGTGGAAAAACCATGAAAAACACTTGAAATCAGAAAACATATATAAATAGAGACGAGACTAGCAGCTAGCAATGGTAAGATATGAGAAAGGAAGGGGAGGAAATGGTAGGAAATGAAGAGGGGTGTTGCAACTGCTAGGTGGAGGCGGAAGACTAGGGCATGGGAATGAATTGATAGCAGAAAAGGAGCTGAGACGAATCACGAGCCTTAAGTGGGGTAATGGACTGGTCCAAGTCGAGCGTTAATTCAATTGTCATGCTCGGTTGACTGGACTGAATTTTTTTAAGTTTCGCCAAGTTTCTGAAATTTAAAAATTAGTTCTCTGGTTTCCTCCCTTACGGAATGCTACAACCTTTTTCCTCTCACAACTGGTGTGTTTGTAGCTTGCCTAGGAACAAATGGTGGATCCCCCTCGTCGTCCGCACCTCGCTGACCCGTCGTTTGTTCACTGTTTTCAGCCGGACCGCTGTCGAACTTGCTGCCACCTGCTGTTTCAGAGCAGGAAACTACCCATTTTGGATTCCGGTTCGCTATCCCGCTGCTATTCTCATCGATTTTGTGCCACCATCCATCCTCCCCACTCACGGAATCCCTTCCACAACTTTTCTAACATCCTTCTGTAATCTATCACACCTTCTAGGAGCCCTCGAATTAGGGTTGTCAAAAAAATTGGTCATTCGCAAATAGATCGTGTTCGGCTCGTTAAATAGCTCGTGTTCGATTCATTTGTTAAGCAAGCGAGTCTAATACAAACAACTTTTTTGAGCTTAACTTATAAACGAGCACACACGAACAAATATTTGTTCATTCGTGTTTGGCTTGTTTTGACTCAAATAATTAAATAATATTATTTATTTATATACTTTTTAAATAAATTTTATACGTGTTTAAAAAATGCTAAATTTATTATTTTTTAAAATTACTTGGGTGGTATAATTATAAGAAAATATAAGTTCAGGTGTTAGATATGTAAATTCATAGGTTTTGGGTGATATGTATAGAAATTCCGCTTTAAAAATTTTATTTTGTTAGAAATTATCTTTACTTTAATAAAAAAATCATTATTTGAACTTCATAAAAATTATCCATTAATCATTAATTAAAAGATGCTTAATGCATAAATCATGATTGCATGTGCCATGGAACTGAAGTGCGTGAGTTAATCCCCGACTCCTCTCATTTTACGGTGACAGCGATGAGCAACTTGCACGGTGCCACAATTTAATTAATTTTATGAACCCCGCATTCCATAACTCACGCACTTTAGTCCCACATCGAAAACGGCGGTAAGTTAAGTTGTGATTATAAGAGCAAAAATGAAACAGTTTTAGTTCAAGAACAAACTGAACTGTGCTGAAGTGAAACTGCCAAACCGGGTTCAAAAGAAATAAATAATTTTTTTTAATTTAATAATCAATTAATTGATAATTTTCTTTTACTCTGATGAGGTGAGAGTTAAATTTGTGCCAAACAAGGGTTTAATTTGAACAAATGAGTTTGAATCAAGCCAAACACAGTATTTATGAGCAATTTCAAACACGAACCAACTACCAAAAAAAATAATAATAAACGATCAGAACACGAACAAGATTCGGGCTCGCTCATGTTCGGCTCATTTACATACCTACCTAGAAAGGCCATCAGCAGGCTTATCATTTCAAAAATTAAAATCAAAAAGATAATTATATTGACATTGGGAAAATACCAATCATAGATAAATCACCTTGCCTTCCGATCTTCTGTAATGGATGTAAAATCATTTAGTGGAGAGCTTGAGCTTTGACAAAATTTCGTTAAATCTAAACTTTGCAAAGGACTATCGTCTTGAAATTTATTCAAATCATCTGGGAAGAACAAAAGATATTTGAGGACAAAGGCCTGCAAGAGTAAAATAAAAAAAAAAATAAAAAAAAATCATATAAGTATGAAAAATTTACATATGATTCCACTAAAGCAACCTAAACAGCAAACTAATCATTGGCATTCACGAAGATTGAATATATCTCATCGCCCAAGATATGATTTTATAAGGACCCCAAACATTGATCCACATCAGTAAAGAAAAGTATCAGCAAATAAGAGGGAAAAAATAGAGGAAAAATAAATAAATATACTTAAATGGCTATTTAAAAAAACAAAAATTTTCCTCAAAAAGCGTGCATTCTAGATATCTGAATGGCCTGACCAACACAATTAAAAATTAACAGTACAAATTTACCATAAAACCAAGCCTAAGAACTCAAAAAACTAATGCCAGCTGCAGAAAACATCCTAAAATCAGGGAACCAATTTTGGCACATATAAGCTTCCTACATATTAGGTTAAAATTATCAAGGCCAAAGGTACAACTGGAGAGTTTAGTCAGGAAGATTGCAAGAAGAGAGGTGCTTATAAAGTGATTTCAAGATAAGGGGGAAAAGGCCCTGGCAGAGACAACAAGCCCATGTGAAAGGAAGCTATCATATAGAACTTCTGAAAAAAAATAGCCATCATGGAAATATTCATGATAATTATGAATTAACCACATGCATCTTTAAGAAGGGAGCTGTTACCTGTATTGTAGCCAGGACGCCACAGGGACCTCCCTCATGCTGTACCAGACCTATACAGGTCTCTGGATCTGAGCTAAACCTATGCCACAAAAATTCAGATACATAAAAAAAGAAGAGTTGTTGATGGAATAAAATCTCCATTAGCGTGAAAGGGAAAAAAAAGCCATTTAAAAGCATCGCCTTAATAATAAGGAATAAAAATGAGCCGTATCTAGGTTCAGCTGGTCGACATGGTAATGTTTGAGGTTAATTTTTGTTGGTTCATTCCATCAGTTCAGTAATGAATCTAATGAAAATCTTGCACATGGTTTAGGCTTATTCTTATAGGCGGTGGAAATTTAAACACTAAAAAGTATGCATATATATTAGCATAAAAATGGGTCCAAGGAAAGTTCAGTTACTCTTTCAGGAAAACACCTTGACTACAGAAGCCAACTGTCAGTCAACTTTTTGAACATCAGAAAAATAATTTTGAAATTTAATTTAAATATAAGATGTATATAGTTTGGATTTTGAAAGTTACGTGTTTTAATTTTGAAAAATGAGACCAAATGGATCTCATTCGTCTAATAGTTTGAATAATCGTGTCCGATAACGCGAATAGTACACATTCCCGAAAGATAAGTGTCTACCTTGGCGATGGACCCAATCCTGCATACTATAAGATTTGTGACATCCGTTTGGCCTGCAAATCTTTTTATATGTGACCAACAAGTTTTCTTATTTAATATAAAAATTAAATAGAGTTTATTTTACATGGGTTTCAAGTTTCTATAGAGACAAGCCCTTATAATTAATTACATCCCAAATGACGAGGGTCACTTGAGATAACTCTCGATGGGTACTGATCTTCAAGTATTCAAAGTTTAGGTTTTCACGGTAGGACGTGAAAAGACAAGTGGAGTCGCTCAAACAGGAACCATTGTTTTCAGGAGTCCAAAGAAGGGAAAATGTATGAGATATCACAGATCTTGAGGGGAAACCTCAATGACTTCCCAAACTATTCTAATTTGTGGCAGAATTTTGGAGACGATGTTATTTATGTATTTAATCCTGCCAATTTTATTATTTGAGACTTACATTTGCATAATATCTGATTATACAAATAACCCGCAGAGATAGGAGAGTTTACGACGTACCATAAGATAATCTCGGAACCTAAGGTGAATTAGGACTTACGCTGCACAACATGGTTGTACAAGAGCCTAAAGAAGATGTGAGGATTTACATCGCGTTGGGCGAGCTACCTCAAAATCCTAAGGGTTGTTATTATGCTAGGAAGAGATAATGCTGAAGAAGATCCTCTTGTCGCTCGATCCAAGCTTCTCGTCGTGCTGCCCACAAAGTTGACTCCAAGCTCCTATTGTACCGATGACTCCAGAGGGGTTTAAGTGTTTTAGATTGGTGGTTATGTTTCACAGTTTTGGTGTCACAATTTTGTTTTGTTTTGTTTCGGTTTTAGTTTTGCATGCAGAATAAGCAAATTGCAGGTAAGTAAAAGGTACTTGAAAAGTAAAATGCAGTACAATAAAATGCTGTAGATAAATTGTAATTGTAAAAACATACCTGGGCATCTGCTACTGTTGTGTTATTAATGTTGCGAGCATAGTATGATTAGCAACAGATCTTAGATTTAAATAAACTTGCAAGAAAAATAAACAAGACGAGAAAACCCAGCACGAAAGTCAGAAAAACGAGTCGTAGAAATCACAAGCGAAAGAAACTCTTAGCCACATATGAAAAACCAGGACTGGGTGTAAGACATTGGTAGAAGTGGAGGATCGGAGCTGGATTGTATGCTTCCCGATCTTGAACAAGAGTTACCAACCTGACAATCTACGGATGACAGTCCTTAAACTCAATCTAAGTGATTAGCCATTGACCTTTATAATTTTCATAGAAAAATTCTTTGATTTTCATGCAAAAGTTGTTGTTTAAGTCTTTTTTTATGTAGACTTCTTTTTAACATGCTAAAGAAATTTTTGTTTTATTTTTATAAATATTTTGTAAAGTCGTGTAATCCACAGACTAGCCACTCTAACCGTGCTAGCACTACTGACAACTTAAACGCTACATAAACCTCTCCAAAAATTGGTGCATAAAGCAGTGCTAAAATGTTGCCTAAATGGTGTCAAAGTGGTTCCAACACGGTGCCAAAACTGCCCAAAATTAGCCCTCGAACTGCCCCAAACAACACTTAATTGTGTTCCAAATAATACCATATATACCCTTACAACACCTACAGTTCTAACAACACTCCAAATAGATCTCACAACACTACAAAAGCTCTCACAATTTTTAACACCTCCAAACAGTAATTTGCAGCACTTGTAAGGAACCTACAACAGCCCAAACTATAATTTCAGCACCCAAACAGCTCTCACAGCACCCTACATCATCACATAGCATTTTTAACACCTCCAAACAGTAATTTGCAGCACTTGTAAGCAGCACTTGTAAGCTACCTACAGCAGCCCCAAACCACAATTTCAGCACCCAAACAGCTCTCTCCTACAAGTTGAATCAAAACAGCAATTTACTCTTCCAACACCGCGAGTTTATGAGATTCAAAACAGCATTTATGTCATTCCGAAACATTCCCCATTTCGCATGTCTCTCGAATCGAATTGCACATCCCCCTCGACTTATGTTGAAAGAAGTATATGTAAATATTGCGAAGGTTTGCCTACACACCACTTAATTCACCTATATCTATATGCCCAAACCCTGCAAAATTCTCTCCAAATAAAAGTAATACCGAGTCAGAAATTGCAATTGAATCCCTAAGGAAAACAGAGTTCACCTTCACTTTCCTGTAAAAAAAAAAAAAGGTAACCACGGGTAAGGAATATTAGCTTCCTTTCCATTAAAAGAACTGGAATAAAGCATGACTTGCCCATCCTCCATAATTTTCAAAGCTATGGATCTCTTTTTGTTCACAACGGGACAGATTCCAGTAAAAGGGAAGCATCCTTAAGTAGAAAATGAAACTACCGATCCGAAAATAGCTTCCCACATGGGCATGTTTCCCTTTACACATTCAATTTTGAGCATACAGTTTAAAGATTCCTCACCACAACCCAAACTGCCATCTGGAGGCAGCTTACAATGGCAAGCCCCATACACATCTCTCCATTAACCATCCTGGTGCATCACCTATCTCACGGTAGTCACTATATACTAAGTGAGAAACGCAACATTCACAAAATATTGAAAAGATAATGGATTTCCATGATTTAATTTATCATACCTCCTGGAGTTTACTTCAAAATCAAAACGGGAAAAAGAAAGAACATCTCCAGCTAAAAAAAAAACGAAAGCAATAAAACATCATGCATGTCTCAAAAGAGAAAAGTTTGTCATAGTGGCAAATTTTGTCATACCATCTTATGAAAGGGATTTCAGATCATGCTAATATATGATATTATATATTATTTATCCAAAAGATTAAAACAAGCAATGGATTGAGATCAGCACCTCAAAACCTTACCGACAACGCAAACCCAAGTGATCAGAGACGAGGGTTTCAGGCGAGCGGGCAAGTGGGAGAGGCAGAGGGAGTTTCGATGCAGAGGAAAGCAGTCGAGAGGGATCGAATGCGGGGAAGCTGCAACTGTCGAACTAGATTTCTGTCGAGAGAGGAAGGCAAGCGCTGCGGGATCAAGAGGGGTATCGCATGGAGCTGAGCTTCTGTGCTGAGAGGAGCGGCTTCTGTCGCAAGGAAGAGGGAGGCTGACGAATCCCGAGTGCGAGGAAGAAAGAGACAGGCGGCAGAGTTGCGGTGGAGTGTTTCAAGCAGAAAGAGCGGGGCTTCAAGCAGCAAGAAGAGGCAAGGGAAAGTTTTCGGTGCAGAGGGGAGCAGGTGAGCAGGTTTGCTTCGATGCTGAGGGAGGAGAGTCGAGCGCAGAGGGAGAGCGGAATCAAGGGGACGAGGAGCAGGTGTGAGAGAAGAAGGGAGCCAGGGAAACTGAATTTATAAAGCCAAAGTTTTCGAGCAAGTCGTTAAGTGGAGCATTGGCGGAGAAATTAATAATTTCCTTAGGCAGAGGAGTTTATTTGGCATATCACAGCTCTTAATTAAATTTCATTAAAGCTGGAATAAATATTTCATTTGAAATTTAAAATTTTTGAAATCTGAAATCGCTTAGTCACTCGAGTCCAACCCGAATTGCACGCCCCGCTAAATAAAAAAAGGTGCATCGATTTTCGTGTTGTCTGCTCGTGCCCGGAAGCATAATGATATGGGTGTCATTTCTAAACAAAGTCGACGTTCCGGACGCGCTGGCGTTGTCCGTTTTGTCATCCGGGGTCGTCCTGATAATTTTGTCGACGATCGGTCAATTCAAGTTAACATCGTGCGTGGTGCAGTGAGTGCATAAATTACGGCGTTCGTGAGTGTTTGAGTTATGGAGGGTTCACTTATGGCCGTCTGATCCTATAGAAACTCATTTTCGGACTCCCTACATGTTAGTTCTTAGCCCTTGCAACTAAGAGTTGAGTGCTTGGGGCTACTCATGCGAGGTATGCACAGAAAAGAGCCAAGAAGTGGCTCAAAGTTCTATGGGAGGTGAGCTCCATTACTAGTCTGCTAAGATGGTCAACAAGGAACTCCTAAGGCTAGATTTTGGGTTCTGGAAGTAGGAAACTAAGACCTCACTACCTCACTAAAAATGAGGTCAACACTAGTCGGTCAACAATCCAATGAAACCACGGCAAGCCAGAGGCAGACAGTCTGAGCAGTCTAGATACTCCCATTGGGACCATCGAGTAGGACTCAAAAGAGGTTCAATGATTGGTACAACCCATTTAGGCCAGGATTGATTGTTTTTCTCAACCTATCTAGCTTTGCATTAATTTCTTTATTGGCTTAATTAATATGTATTGCTTCAAGTTGGCATGATGCAATCATATAAACTCTATTAAAAATTTGAGAAATGACACCAGGAAAACTAGGGCTTATTAATTCAAACATAGGATGAGATGCAAAGAGAAAAACACAACATTAAACTTGCAGTAGTTTCTCAATTCTTACATTTAATTCGCTCCAAACAATAATCTAAAACTCACCAAAATCTAAAC